TCTCTCTCTCTCTCTCTCTCTCTCTCTCTCTCTCTCTCTCTCTCTCTCTCTCTCTCTCTCTCTCTCTCTCTCTCTCTCTCTCCAACGGGCAGCAGTGGCGCGTGGGACGTCAATCTGGACATAAGGACCGGACACCGGGCACCGGACATGTTGTTCCGGACTGTCTGGAACCCGGTCCGGACGTCCGGACAGTTACCATGTAAAACACTGAAAGAAATAAGAATACACTAAAACAAAGAAGAAGAAGACACTGTTTTCTGTCTTTCTTTGCCTGTCTGTCCTTTTCATTTTTTCTCTTCTTCGCTCATCTTATTTCTGCTTCTACTTCACGTGTTTGCACTCTTAGTCAATAGTTCTGTGACAATATATATCTGTCTTAGACTCTTACAAAACTGAAAGCGAGAAAAGGACAAGAAACGGGGACCTGTTTCGTCGGTTTTTCACCAGCTGTTGAGTTTCTCATCTACAAGTTTGAATTAACATTACCMCCCTCCCCTCCCCCCCCCCATCCCCCACCCCTCGGTCCCTCCCCCTCGGTTGACCCCTTTTTCTATTCGCAGGAACACCCAGGCCACCCTTCGACAGTGTGCTGAAGATGCTGGCAGTGCCAGAGGACAAGACGGCTGCAGATTTGGGAGTTCCCCCCATTGTGTCAGTGGATATCCCGTCTGGATGGGATGTGGAGGGGGGTGATGTGAACTCAATAGGCCTCAGACCTGATATGCTGGTATGTAGTAAGTAGTAAACCAATAAAATTGAATAAATATCAAAATCATTAAATCTGTTAATCTTCTGTTTTTTTTTTTTCGCCTCTTGAATTCTTATTTTGTCCCATTCGTACCTCTTTGCGCAGGCTGTGCTAATGTTCTGTGTATCATAAGCTCACAACTCTTTCCCTTCAATTCACAATTGATGTAACGAAGCAGTATACTGTTTGTTTTTTGTTTTTTTTTTTTGTTGAAAGTTTAAACTTTAAACCATTTTTTATTTTTTTTAAAGTTTTTCCAACTCTTTCTTAACCTTTTTTTTTGCTTTTTTTTTTCTGTTTTCTTTCTTTCGGTTTGTATTTTGGACCATTTGCTAGGCTACCAGCCAGGCCGCCCTGGTCAGCTTGTTTGCCTGGGCAGCCCGGCCGTGCAAGGACCAAAGAAGGTCCCAGCAAAAAAAAAAAAAAAAAAAAAAAAAAAAGCAGAAATCCAAAAAGTCTGAAAAAAATTTATGATATGCAGAATACATAAACTGAACAACTTTTGCCTCAGGGTCACATCGGAATTCTTTACGACATTTAAAAGTATAATATTATTAATATATATATTTATTTTTAGTTTTTTTGGCCCAGCCTGGCAAGTGGTCCCGGGCCACTCTGGTAGCCTAGGCTATTTGTCAATTTGCTTGTTAGGCTGGTCGGTGGACCTGCCGCGGCGACGCCACAGCCGCAAGATCGGGAGGCATGAAGGAGGCTGGAGGAACGGGAGGCGACGGAGCCAAAAGACACAGAAAAAGAGTCGAAATTGTTCGGGGAATTTCAAAAGCGCCCAAATCAGATTAGCCAAGGTCAGGAGTATGCAGTGGCTCATCTTTCATCTAGCACTTCCAGTCAATGTCTGGTTGTATGGCAGACGAAGCAGTGTCAATAGGAACGAAGAGGATCAAAACTGTGAAATGTGTATGGAGGGTGTGCAGGAAACTCTGATCCATTGTTTGCTGCACTGCCCGGAAGCAGAACATCTCTGGTCGCTAGCCTGTTCATTATGGTCATGCACTACGGAGCTTCCCTTCCCGAGAAATACGAAACTCGTATTGATTGGAGTTGAGGTTCCTAAGGGATGGAGGGCGGGACATAAGTATATCTTTCAGCTACTAAGACAGTATACTCTATGGGCAATTTGGAAACGAAGATGTCAGAGGGTGGTAGGCAAGATTCTTATGACGAGAATGGAAGCTAGGGCGACCGTCTACAGTCTGCTAGAGACAGAGATTAAGGCGTTATGGTTAAGAACAAAGAAGCAAATGGCCTTTAACCCTGAAAGGGCAAAGGATATCTTAATCAAATTCCAGAATAGGGTACTGGGCCAAGGATCCAGCGGCCTAGGTCAGTTGGTAAGGCATGCAAGTGGCATTCAGGAGGTCTTGGGTTCAATCCCCATTGGCCTCATGTACCTTCCTGGGCATGCTTGGCGCCCACCACCTAGAGATAGCCCGTTGGTCCCCCCAATTGGCATTAAAAAGCAGGTTCTGCTGATGTTCATAGGGAGAGGGGTAATCGGGGAGGCACAGCGACTGGCCACTCAGATGATGCTCGGTCCCTCTGCCACCGGCTGTCCCCTGGCCGGTGCCCCCCGTTGGGGGTTCCCTGAAGGCTATCAGGCCACCCTGGGCTGAAAAGGCCACCGTTGTCAGATTAGACACAAGATTGAATTTACCTGGGCTGGTTAGTCCGATGACAATACCTCAAGTGTGTGTGTACTTAGTCATTGCTTACGGCTAGATACCGATTGGCAGCAAAGATACAGCCTGCACGTTGGTTAACCGAAATTACCACACGACGACACCCACAGCCAAAGGTGTGACAGAAGACAAGGGTAGAAAGGGAGAGAAAGAGACAAGACAAAGGAAAAGATGAAAGAAGATGAGACAATACGCAGTAGTAACAAATCCCGAGCCGACTGTCTTTGAAGATGAAACAATACAGCACTGGCGGAATGACCCGACGCGTTTCGGCCGGCCGCCACCGGACCTCATCAGGGGTCTTCAGTTCGCGGAGAGTGTCTGACTGATCGCCAGTCTCCAATATATACTACGCGTATTGAATCGGAAGACCGGACAAAAAAAATCACAAGTGCCAGAATTCAGCACTGCTTACTGAGTTTCGAACCGTCACCCTATGTGCCAGTCAGGCCACATTCTAGTCAACCAGCCGAACCTACGAATACAAGGCCTTCCACCAAATATCCTACCACGGCACCGCACCGAAAGAGACAGTCCCACATTACCAAAAATCCCACATCAAGATACTAGAAGCTGAACCCCCACAGCAAATTAAAAGTCCGTTGTCGGAGTCCCACGCCACTCACTGCTAAGTTCCTTGTCAAGCAACCTGAGAACCGACTATCAAAGTCCCACACCACATACTGCAAAAATCCAACAACCCTGCTCGATTGAACAGACCAAGGTCAATAGTGAATACCAAGGTCCCTCGGCATATATCAGCTTGTATCCAACTGCGAAAGGAGTCAAGCAACAATTCCGCCTTCCTTTTAGAGGTAACATCATTAGAACGAAATCGAATAAAGAGAGAAACATCGTCCACAAGACGACATCCACGGACAAGGGACCTGTCACACCCAATGCTCGAAAGAAAAGAAAACACATTGTGAGCGCAAAGAAGACATGCGAGAGCTGGGCTAGTAGTTTGGCCCATAGGAATACCAACAACCTGACGGATAACCTTTCCTGCGGCAACCACATAAGTATTCTCCAACGCAAAAACCACAAAGGACATAATGGTATCCAAACCCAATCGTATCCAACCTTCTTCCCCTTGGCCTTTCGTCAACCTTGCCATCTTCCCAAACCTGCGAACAAGCACAGCCTCAACTCCCTCACTGGTCCAATAGTCAAGAACCCATCGGACTGATCGCAAGATGGCTTCATGAGGCAAATTGGAAAACATTTCCTTAATATCAAAGGAACCACCCAACATCTCATCGCCTGTCTTCATCGATCCATTAATCTGGGCGATCCGTTTCATCAACTCATCAGTCCGACAAAGGTTGAAATGTAGGTTGCCAGGAAGTTTCCACAGAAGACAATTGATGGCTCGTGCAACCCGCTTTGCTGCCACCACCGAACCTTCCGAGTGGGAAGGGCATATAGGTCGCCATCTTGAAATATCTTTATGTTTTGCCAAGCAATACGCACGTCCAAGCATAGCGTCCTTCCTCCATGCCCGGATCTTCATGAAACCACTGTCAGCATAAACTCGCCTACATTTATCCAAAATTACTGCTTCGGAGTCCAACGACTCTTCGAACGACGAATTTCCCACAAACAACTTCGTCATTGCCTGCCCATACACAGTGGGACAGCAAGCCAGGGTATCACCCGGGTTATGGTTCAATGGTAGGAAAACCAAACTATCCAGTTTGCGCTGGAACAACCTCACATCATCGACAGTACAAGTAGTGACCGTTGGAGCCAGAAAAGAAGGAGACCGGAGAAGACAAGAAGAAAGGTCCACGGATCGAAGAGCCTGAGGGTCCAAGGAAGGAAGAGAAGACGAGGCAAAAGATTTCAGAATCTGCCGCTTTAGACTTGCAAGAGGACAGGTAACCGAAGGACATAGAACATTTCTAGAATTCGTCATGCATGGAGGGACATCATCACACGAGGTGAATCGAAAAACAACGTGGCCATTTTCTCGAGGAAGGTTTGCACCAAGATTCGAACAACAGCAGGCAAAGTTGCCATTCCTCACCACAGATCGAAAATTGTGAATAATGTCACCGACAGTTTTATTCCGACAAAAGACCACACGCATGCGCCGAATCACCATCGCCTTCCATGATACATCAGCTATCAGATTCCCAATCAATTGGGAGCACACCTTGCGAATAGCAGTCTTACAAAACCGATGATCATAGATGACCCTGATTACCAAGCGTTGCCTCACCGAAACACCAAATCGAGCCAGTATCACCTTGGACAAGATTACCCGCAGTCGCCCACGAGAGCGCTTGTTCTGAAAGCATCCAATGGAAGAGTAAGCATAAACGAGACGATCGAAGTCCCAAGTCCGCAGAATCTTACGAGACGGAGGTAAGCTGAGAAAACCCGAAAGACAGGGTTTCAACGATAGAGATTTGTAACAGAAGGGCACAACCGTTTCAAACCTCAAAACAACACCTCCCTTCAACCATCCACGCGAGCGTCTCAACTGGTCCCGACCAAACTCACAGGAGACAACGGACGAGCCGAAGCACCGCTTAATCACCTTCCAATTATCCATAAGCACACAACCTCCACGACAGACGATTAAGATTGATGAGATAGAGTGATCACGACAATAATTAAGTACCGCAAGCAAGCTAGACGATACATCACCAGAAGAGGGATGGAAAGAAATCAGCGACCGTTCCGACACCGAAGAAGATAAGAAACTGCCTGCCACTGCCCGTCGACGCAAGGCCTTAGCCCTCTCCCTTTTACCTTTCCGTCGTTTCCTATTCCTCTTAGGTTTGTCACGAGCATTAAGAGAGGCAGAAAAAAAACGAATGAAGAATTTCTCGGTGGTTTCCAGGTCCGCCGACAAACAACAACAAATGGGAATAGCAACATACTTACCAACGCCACATCTTCGTAGCCAACGGTACAGACGTTCATTCCGCTTACCTTTCTGAATAAGAGAAACATTACTTGCCCAATAAACATGTTCACTCCATCGTAACGAGAGCTCACGCCTAGTGCTACCCACATACAGATGCCTACACCACAGAGAGACAAGAACATACACCAGAGGACCGTTCACCACCCCACCAGAGTTCCACCAGTAAGAGAGGTAGGGAATCAACTTGTCAGCCCATGGAATAGACCTCAACAGAATGAGCGCCAGAATCACCAGGCGAAAGAGAGAATCGAGCGCTTGAAAACGAAGATTACGGGTGGACGAAGAGCGTAGGTAAGAGCAAAGACGAGCTAGAGACCACAACGTAGTCGCACTCAGGAGGGACCCTAAGACGTAGCCGAGTCCCTCCCATCATTCTTACCATCAACCTGTGCACCGGCACCGAGATCATCAGAAATCTCCTGGACTGCCACTTTTTTTCCAAATGCACGATCTGCTCGTTTCGCGATGATCTCAGAGACCGTCTCAGTCAACGTGGTATACTTAATACCCTCCTTCAAACAGATCTCCATCACGTCGTCTTTCTTGAGGTTGCGAAATTCTTTACGTGCCTCCCGTAGGAACGCGTCCCGATCATTGTTTGTACCATCGTCGATGCCGCCTCCCACTTTCTTCTTCCTGGTGGTTTTTGACCCAGACCCTCCAGCAGCTGTCTCAACCTCATCAAGTCTCTCACGGAAACTGGATAGCGGAGTATGTTTCCCTGCTTCGCGTTTAGCCAATTCTCCCTTTAATCTGACATTCTCACGCTCCATTTCTCTCTGTTGTTCCTTGAGTCGCTCGTTTTCCTGCTCGGCCTCCCGTCTCCAGTTCAGTTCCTGCAGCCTCATGCCCTTCAACGCATCGACCTCCAAATTGTGCAACTCCCGCAAGTGACCGATTCCAGCGCCAGCCCTCTCCTTGCTGGGTGCCGATGTAGCCGCCACTGGCATCTTCTGCCCGGAAGAAGGTGAAGTAGCCAGCCGGCTACGTTTGTTTCCTGTCCTAAGTGCCTCGTTCTTCCAGGTTTCTGCTTCCTGCAAAGCCGCCTCCCTTGACTGCTTCAAGCAACGCAGCTCTTCCTCCAACGTCTCCACTTTCTTGCAGGCCCCAGAGGCATAATCTAGCCTCGCTTTCATGTCTTCATGCTCCTGGAGTACCCGAGCCAGGAGAGAATCATTGCCCACTGCCGGGTTGCTGGTGGACGCACCAGAATGGGGTCCACCGTGCCGTTGACCGATCTTGAGATCCTCAATCTGCCTCTTTAGCAACTCTAACTCACGATCCGCAGGAGTTTTCCGGAGCGCAAGGCCCCACACGCAGACTCGAACTTAGCGTTCCATTCATCGCTAAGTTCCTTGTGAAACTTTTCACGCTCCTGCTTCTCCTTCAGTCTACGTTCCTCGTCCTCTCGCTCCTTCCGCAAACGCTCCTCTTCTTGTCGTTTAGCCAACAATTTCGCCATCTCTGCATCGTACCAGTTCTTCAACAAAGCCACGTGCTCTTCAAGTACCGCGACCAGTTGATTGGTGTTAAACCAACCACTTCCTTTAGCATACTGTCCATTCGTATTAGCAGAAGTAGTAGCCACAGTAGACGAAGTAGAAGTATTAGAAGAGACGCTATGTGGAGGAGGCAGAGGGGGTAGAGGTGGGGGGGGCGGAAAATTAGACTTGGTTGCAGGGGCTGGAAGAGCAAGTAAGGCTGGATTCTGTGTAGTGGTAGGCACAGCAGGATTTTGCCGATGAGGACACCATCGGGCAAAGTGATTAGGGTCACCGCAGTTAAAGCATGTACGTGTGCTACCCGTCGGAACGTTTGCCATAGCGGTAGACTGTCGACAACAGAGATATGCGAAGCCACACAACCAGTAGTCTGACTCCTACGGTGGTTACTCCGTGAAACAAAGTGTACTTAGTTAATGCTTACGGCTAGATACCGATTGACAGCAAAGATGCAGCCTGCACGTTGGTTAACCGAAATTACCACACGACGACACCCACAGCCAAAGATGTGACAGAAGACAAGGGTAGAAAGGGAGAGAAAGAGACGAGACAGAAAAGATGAAAGAAGATGAGACAATACGCAGTAGTAACAAATCCCGAGCGCGACTGTCTTTGAAGATGAAACAATACAGCACTGGCGGAATGACCCGACGCGTTTCGGCCGGCCGCCACATCTTCTTTCATCTTTTCCTTTGTCTTGTCTCTTTCTCTCCCTTTCTACCCTTGTCTTCTGTCACATCTTTGGCTGTGGGTGTCGTCGTGTGGTAATTTCGGTTAACCAACGCGCAGGCTGTATCTTTGCTGTCAATCGGTATCTAGCCGTAAGCATTGACTAAATACCTCAAGGCCATCGCCCTTTTTTTTTTTTTTTTTTTTTTTTTTTTTTTTTTTTTT